AAATTACATGTTTTATAAAACAGCCCCTATTTTTTGAGTGTAATAAGTGTCAAATGTTGACTGAAGTTTAGACAGTGTCTTTGATTCTGTCCAAAGGTAAAATACATTATTTTGCTGATGAGGCAATGTTTCTCATACATTTTATATTTTAACTCTGCATTTTTTGAAAAGTGCCACCTTTTTGTTCTAATAAGATTTTTTGCAACAAAAGTTTATTAATAGTAGTTTTGTGGGGTTCATTCGGCTATATTGCTTTTGGACAGGATTGTACTTCTTAGCAGATGTAATTTGGACGTTATTATTTACTTGTATAGATTATTATATTATAGCCAATATTTGATTATAGATATGATATAAATCAACGGTGACATTTCATTTTTCTTGCTTTGTGCAACAGACTTTATTGCATAGAATATAATAAAATATAATAAAAAATGTATCAGGCATAATTAATTTACCTTTCTTTGGTGGTTTGTCACTTTTTACATTAATGGCTTTGACCTTGTACACCATTATTGACTATAATACATGACTGACCACAATTACAATGTGATGGAAATTGTTAATTTACAATATGTGATTCCCTTAAAGAGGCAGTGTTAGTAAATGGATAATGGAATGCAAAGAGGTTACATTTAATTTCTATGGTCAGTTCTTGCATAAAAATGGCTGGATGAAGACAATTTTCCCCATGGAATCGAATATTTTATTAGTATTTACTTTTTAAACCTGAATAGGTTAATTTGCTGCTGTTAACTATCAAAGACTTTGATTGGAAGAGCTCAACAGATCCACATATAGTTTATCTTTAGACACAGAAAATGAAATCCCTTGTCAACTCAAGTCAATGGCAAAACTCCCATTGACATAAATGAAGCCAGAATGTCACCCATGCAGTATATTTTTTAAAAATACACTGTTTTAAGGTGATTCAGAATGGAAGTGTTCCATGGTATTATTTTTTTCCTAATGTACCTCATTTTTATCTCTTTTTTTCCCCTCAGTTTTTCATTGAGTATATCTTGCCTTTGTATTATAAAATGCGTTTTTCTGGCTATTTATGTTTTGGGGTGAAGTCGATACCTCCTATTTTTCTTAAAAGTTTACTGCAAAAGCGAGGAGAAAGAACTCTTGTCTTCATAGCTGGATAGACCCATCTCTATCTTGAGAGATGAATCCTTGAAGAAGATGCATCCTCCTTTATTGGTCTCAGATTCTTCCAAAAGCCAGTATAGTTGAAACTAGACTTGAGGGAACACCATAACTAATAAAAGCAGAGCTCCTCAAAGGTTGTGGAAATTGCCACCTATGCTTAAGACAGTTAAGTAGACAAACCATCAAAAAGCCAGCAATGAAGAACAGCTTGTTGACCAGTTGATCGACTCAGCCATTTCTGTGGTGTTGCCCTTCATTTTGAAGCCCGGTATTACTAGATCCATAGTTCCCAACCTTTTTTTGCCATGGCCTGCTGCTGGGAGCAGAGTGCAGCGGTGGGGGCACTCCTGTCCCGGTATGTGGCGTGGTTTGTCCTTTGTGTGTGGCGTCACCGACATTGCCCCCGTGACCCTCAATTGGGTTGCGACCTGAGGTTGGGAACCAATGTATTAGATGATTAGTAATACATAGGCTGATGCTTCCATCAGGCCAGCTTCTCCTTACACTTCTTAACAGCTCCCACAGACTTGGAATAACTTCTTTTTCCTTCAACTTGTTGAAGGTGTTTCAGTCTGAAGTGAACCCAAGCCAGTCTCTTTAGGTGGAGGGCGTTGGTTGTAGCCATGTTGGTCTAAGGACACAGGCAGACAAGGTTCTTTGGGCAGATGTGATATCTTTTATTAGACCAACTAAATAGTTGGAAAATATTCTTCTTTGCAAGCTTTCGGGCACGAAAAACCTTTTAGGCGGAGGAACTTTTACACTGGATGGGTCCAATGAATGAGTTGCCCAGTGAGCTTCAGGGGCTATGTTTGAATCCCTGGGTACAAGTAGCTCCTAAATATGAGACATGTGTTGGAAACACCCTTTCCTCTGACAGAACAGGACCAGAAGTTCCTCCTCCAATGGGAAACACTGTCACTTGACCTGGCCTGATCCCATTGGCTGCTGGAGGTGGGCGGGGACTTGCCTACTGAACACAGCTTCACCCAACATTCCATGCAAATGAGGTCCAGGCTGCTGGGTAGCCACGTGTGGTTATCACATGGGCTTGACATCATCACACCCCTCCCTCCTCACCATGACGTCACACCTCCAAATCTCGCGAGGGCTTCCACTGGTGCCACCTCAGGTGGACCAGGAGAGGAGGGGGGAAGGTGAGGAGCCCACAGGTGGGTCAGGGGCCCCCATGGAGGGCCCCCACCCCCCCTTCCACCTTGCCCCCTTCACCCCCCCACCTCTCCCAAGGGAGCCCAGGCTGATCTGAAGAGCCAATGGGCGACTTGGGCAAGGCCTCTCCCTATTGGCTAGTGGGGTAGGCATGCAAATGAGCCCCCTCACGTCACTTCCTGGGATAAAATCGAGCGCCATTTTCTCTTTCTGGCTCTGGATGAGGAGCCGGGCAGAGGCGGGCGC